CTTTCTTTCTTTCTTTCTTTCTTTCTTTCTTTCTTTCTTTCTTTCTTCCTTCCTTCCTTCCTTCCTTCCTTCCTTCCTTCCTTCCTTCTTTCTTTTTTCTTTTTGTTTTTTATTTTTCAAGACAGAGTTTCTCTATGTACTCTTGGCTGTCCTGGAACTCATTTTATATACCATGCTGGCCTCGAACTCACAGAGGCCTGCCTCTGCCTCCTAAGTGCTGGGATAAAGGGCATGCGCCACTACCGCCTGGCTTCTAAAATATTTTTGACATTGGTCTAGAGCATAGGTTATTAAAACTGAGTTGGGACCTGCTAGCTTTTACTATTTTAGTTCTGCATTCAGAGTACATGGTGACGTAACAACTCCTCATAAACAAGTAGCAGCATTGCTCAGCGGCAGCAGGTGGGGTGGTGAGAGCGGTCACAGTTGACTGTAGTAAAATCTTGGTTGCTTTCCTTCACAGCACCAGGTCACAGGCATGTGCCTGACTGGGTTTGGATTGTCGTGGGCATCCTCAACTTCGTAGCCTACACTCTAGGTAAGAAACTGGCAAATGCTCATTTAGTCCCTGGCTGCTATATCAGCAGAACTAAGCACTCATTAAATATACATTTTCTTCTATGCTTTACTTATTTTAACTAGGGTCTATTAATATCTTGTTCAAATTGATCATTTATATTTTTGAGTCTATGAAAAGCAGTGTCACTTAACTGCCAGGGATTCAGAATAAAATAGGGATTGCCAGGTGACTACTTGCAGGCCCAATCTGGATAACTGTCTATTTTTGGAAGTAAGATTTTTGCTAATGTTTTTTGTTGTGTGTTTTATTTTTGTTGTTCAAGAAATTTTTAAGAGTTCTTTAGTAGTTTCCCATATATATATATATATATATATATATATATATATATATGTTTTATGTTTAAATTGTATCAACTCCTCTCTCCTCAACCTTTTTTGGAGCCCCTTGCACATCCTCTTCCAAACTTGATGACCTGTTTTCTTTTCTAACCCACTGAGTCCAGTTAGTGCTGCCATATGGGCACGGCTGTAGTTAGAGCCATCTATTGGCATGGGCAGCCTGTCAAGGACCACACCTCTGAAGAAAATGGACTCTCCCTTAGCACAGCTTTCCCGGAGTACAGCAGTGTGCATTTCCTTATGTGCTGTTTGTGGCTGCCTTCCTGCAATAAAGATCCTTTGAGAAGTTACAACAGAGTCTCACAAAGGGTATGACCCACAAAGGCCAAAGTATCCATTATTTGGCTTTTATCACAAGATTTACCAGCTCTTGGAGTAAGACATTGTTGCCTTAACTTTGGCAAGAAATCTGGACATAGAAATTAAGAGTGAGTATTCTTGTTTACTGTTGCAACCTAAGTTTCTGGAACATTATCTGGCACACAGTAGCAGTTTGTATTTGGTTTTCAAGTATATGTGAAGTAGCAGACCTGAAGTTCAAGTTGTTTTTAAGTCTTTTTAAATAAAAAGAGTTTGTTCTCACAGAACCAGTGTGACTTACATTAGTGATGTGGTGGGTGGGAGAACTGTAGGAGTGAGGTCTCTGAGAGCCAGGGAAACCTTAGGTAAAGGCTGTGTATTTGGATAGAGGCTGTATAGACTTGTTAGAAAAGGTGAGCAGGTTTTAAAATGCTAGGGAGTTCATTGCCGAGGGATGCCTTGAGGACTAGGGAAAGATGAGGAGACCTGTGAGCTCTTGCCGCCCGCAGCATTTCTCGTGAGCCTTGTCAGGCCCCGTGTTCCAGTTATTTCAGGTCCACGGTTTCTGCAGATACAGACACAAGCCATTTGTTACAGAACTAGTCGTGAACTAACATGAGGAGCTTATAATCTTTAATAAGTGTGACTGTGCGAGTATTGCAAAAATTATTTGGTACTGTAGTAGTTTTGGTAGTTTTGAACATGTCTTTTTATAATAATGGACTATCCTATAAATCACCATTCTGAGGAAAAGATTATATTCTGAAACATGCTCAGACCCAATGTAGCAAGCTGGAATGAAGTCACTGAAAAAGTGCACAAAAACTGATTAATACGTGTTTGTGTATTTGATGGTTTAGCCATAAACCATAAACAGAAATTTAAAAAAAATCGTTAAGCCAGTGAATAAGAGAGGTTTTTTGTTTGTTTGTTTGTTTGTTTGTTTGTTCCTAGATATTTCAGCTATATGGAAGCAGAAAAGAATCCCAACCCCATGAACCCCATACTCCTGCCCTGCTGGTCTTCTGCTTCCCCTCTGTGTATCTTTGTAGGAGCACTGCTGCTCTCCTGGTACCCAGGCTGGAAACCTGGGCAGTTGCCTTCTTGGATCTTGCATTTCATCTTTATGTATTCTCTCATTTTTACTTGTTTGGTTTTCTTTGAGTTTCCCTTGTGGCTCAGCCTGGCCTCCAACTTGATAGCCTCCTTCCGCTGTCACCCGAGTGGAAGTTAGCACTCCCGCACTGTTTCTGTCTCTGGTATTGTTCCACCGGTTCTCATTCCCACTGGACTCCATCTCTATCTAGACTACTGGGGACTGGGGTCCCTGTCTCCAGCCTGTCAATCACACTGTTTCAGCGAACCTTCCTAAAGCATAACTTTTTCTCCTGTCCTTTTCTATTCATACATCTTTTAGTAGCTCCCTCTAGTCCCTAAAATTTTTGAAGTGGCTCAAATCTCTTGTTAGAGGCTTTTGTTTTGTTTATTTTTTAATAGAGAACCAAGTGTGTGGCTTACTTTTTCTTTTATAGTGTATGAATGTTTTACCTGCATGTACATATGTGCACCATGTGCATATCAAGTGTCCCAGGAGGCCAGATGCAGGCATCAGATCTAGAACTGGAGTTAAGGATGGTCGTGAGCCGCCATGTGGATGCTAGAAACCGAACCTGGGTCCGCTGCAAGAACAGCAAATGCTAAGTCATCTCTCCAGCCCCTCTTCTAACCTTCTGATACTGCCTGCACATACTGGCTTCCAATCAGACTATATACTACTTGCCTTTTCCGAGTGTGAGTAGTGCTCTTTGGCACTCAGGGCTTCTGCTGTGCACTGCGGTTTCCATCTCAGCGCAGGTCGCTCATAGCACCCCTCTCCTGAAATGGCATCCTCCGGTATCTCTTACCTGCTGAAATCCAATTCAGTTTTACGTCCCCACTCACATTTCGTCCCGCTCTAAAGGCCAGTCCAGATCTTCTGAAGGGAGCCCTTGTCTTTTTTGTCCTTTTTTCCTGGTTTGTGACACACCATGCATTTAGTGACTGTCTTCTGTCCCTTTCTCGGTTGTAAACATTCCAAGGGCAAGCTCAATTTATAAGATTCTTATAATTTTTATTCATTTATTTTAACTTACATATTTGGGTGCTTTGCCTGTGTATATGTCTGTATACCATGTGTGTGCCTGGTGCCTGCAGAGGCCAGAGGAGGATGTCAGATCCCCTGGAACCAGAATTACAGATAGTTGTCAGTCACCTCATGGATTTGGGAATCAAACCTAAGTCCTCTGGAAGAGCAAGCAGTGTTCCTAACTGCTAAGCTGTCTCTCCTGCCCCTTCTTGTCATTTTCATAGCACCAAAAACAGTGAGTGCATTGTACGAGTTCAACAGATTCAGCCATAGTGTGTTCTGACTGCATTGCTGTATGCGTGTTCTGAAAGCGCTTCAAATGAGGGCAGAACAGAGCTGTGAGGAAAGGGCCTTACGTCATAGAGGAGAAGCGAGTGTGATGACTGCAGCAAGAAGTGGTCAGCTAGATAACTGCGAGGAGCAACTGTGAGAACCAGAGGATCTGTGCCCGGTTTGGAGAGTTTGGAGTCCAGCTAGACTGCTTCCCTCTTAGATCTAAAATGACAGCATTCAGTGTAGTATGATGTGAGTTTTTAGATTCCATCCTAAGAAATTGCAGGGCTGGGGAAGAGATGGCTCAGTGGTTAAAAGTGCTATTGATCTTCCAGAGAACCGGAGTCCTGTTCCCAGCACCTGTAGCAGGTGGCTCACAGCTGTCAGTAATCCCAGCTCCTAGGGATTCAGTGCCCTCTCCTGGCCTTCATCGCCTTTTGCATATACATGGCTCAAGTGTCCACACACACACACTCACCAAATAAATAAATAGATAAATAATCTTTAGAAAGAGAAATTGCATGGTTTTTACATGTTTTTTTTTGTTTGTTTGTTTGTTTTTTCTGGAATGTCTGAGTTGTATGATTTAAAGACCAGACTCTGGAGCACTGGCTGGAGTTGCACTTCATCTGTGTGACTCGGTCGCATCTTTCTACCAGTTTCCTGAAGTTGACTTTTTCCATGCTTGCTGGCCAGATGTTGACCTTTTTCTGTGATGTGTTTTGTTGCAGATGGAGTAGATGGGAAACAAGCACGCAGAACCAATTCCAGCACCCCTTTAGGGGAACTTTTTGACCATGGCCTGGATAGTTGGTCATGTGTTTACTTTGTTGTGACCGTGTACTCCATCTTCGGACGAGGACCGACTGGTGTCAGTGTTTTTGTTCTTTATCTCCTGCTCTGGGTAGTTTTGTTTTCTTTCATCTTGTCTCACTGGGAAAAGTATAACACAGGCGTTCTTTTCCTGCCCTGGGGATATGACATTAGCCAAGTGGTAAGTATGCATCCTGCCCTAAATGGTTTGCATGTTTTAAAGTTCTTGCTACCTTTCTTCACTGCTGTTAGGCATTAGTAAGTTAGAACCAATGTGTGGAGCTGGAGTGGTGGCTTGGTAGACCTAAGAGCAAGGCCTCTTTTTTCAGAGGCCACTGGCTCTTTTTGCAGCACCTTCCTGGAAGTTTACGACTGTCTGTAACTCAGTTCTAGGTGCTCTGGTGCCCCTTTTTGGCCTCCTTGGACACCAGGCAGTCATGGTACACAGACTTACATGCGGGCAAATCACACAAAATTTTTTAAATAAATAAAAATTAAAAGAAGAATTGATGCTTTACCATTTTATTTTCCTGGCAGGATGACTGGGATAGGGATGTGATCCAGTGCTAGAGTACTTGCTTAGCACGTAAAAGTCCTAGGGTCTGTTCCCAGCATCAGTGGTCTGTCTTCCTTCCTTCCTTTTCTTTTTCAGTACAGGTTTTCTTTGTGTAACAGTCCTGGCTGTCCTGGAACTCTTCCATAGACCAGACTGGCCTTAAACTTGTAGAGATCTGCCTGCCTCTGCCTCCCGAGTGTTGGGTTTAAAGGTGTGCACCACCACTACCCAGCCCAAATTTAATAACTTCTTAATGTTATTAAATATGATTTAGTTTAACAGGTTGATTTTTATTTTATTTTTAGAGAAAGGTGTGCAAATATGACTGAACTGTTGACCATTTGTCTTCCTTGCCAACTTCAGTGGGTTGAGAGCTTTGTCTCATCAGCTAGACCTGTGTTAATTCTCTGCCTTTGAGTCTTCTTGTGTTGCCTTTTCTCTATTTGCTGTAAGAAACCAATAAAGAAATCAGAAATTGGGGTGTGTTTGCTGTTGGAGGTTGGTTGGTGGGCAATCGAGCCGTCCTATGATGTAACAGTTTGTAGACTGCCTTTAAAGGGCTGCAGACGGTGACCACTGGCCCACACTGCCTACAGTGTCACTATTTGATGGCAGTATAGGAGGGGGAAAATGTCTCTTATAGGCAAGAAGATTGGCCATATAGCAAATTTAAGCACATTTTTCAGTAATTACTTTGATTAGACTTGATGATGCATAAAGCCCTGTTGGCTTCCTTGATTGTTCAGCTGCTGACACCTCTTGTTCTGTCTGTGTTTTTCTTCCAGACTATTTCTTTTGTCTACATAGTGACTGCAGTGGTGGGAGTTGAGGCCTGGTATGAACCTTTCCTGTTTAATTTCTTATATAGAGACCTATTCACTGCAATGATTATTGGTAAGGAGCTCCATGTCGAAGCCTGTTTTAACCATCACTTTGTTATCCAAAGCCAGTGTTTGAACATAGCAAGTGATAACACTCTTTTCTTGTTCTCCAGCAAGTAGACTAATCCGACGGCCCTATAGGGTTCCTACCAGAATGTTAAAGAAAACAATGGTTTTTGTTATTGAGCACCAAGCTTTTTTAATGGAACAGAAATGCCAAAGTAGATCACCACACAAACTTTGTGAAGTTGTTACCTGTTTACTCTAGACTGTATTGGAGGACCCACATTTAGTGGACAATTCATACCTATTTCAAGTTAAAAATTGTTAATTTAAAAGAATAGATAAAATATGGAAATTTAATATGTTTGCTCAAAAAAAATTAAGCCTCTTTTCCTCTTAGATACCTTCCTTCTTGCTACTAGATACTGGAGGGTTTGGTTATGGTTACCATCTTTGTATCCTGTCTGTTGCTCCCTAAGAAGGTAACCTTCATGGTAAACCAAAGCCGTCACACCTACTCCAACCTGTGTCCCCACCCCCCTTCTTAGAGGCTCGTGTCCACCTCATCACTTCAGCCCCATTTTTTTTTCCTTTGTTTTTCTGAGGCAGGATTTTATATAACCAAGGCTGCCCTTAAACTCCTGATCCTCTTGCCTCCACCTGCCAAGTGCTGGGAGGTGTGTGTCCCCATGTGTGGCTTAAGTGTCCGTGAAAGCACATGGTTAATGTTTTAAGTACCTAATACAGTAGATGTTTCTGTATTCTTTAAATTCAGCGTATCAAATTTAAATATAAAATGTAACAAGCCTTCATGAGACAAGCTGCTTGATTTAGAGATTCACTAATGGTAGGAGAGGAAAAGTAGCTTTTTCAAGGCTTAAAAATGAACAAACAAACTTGTTTGTACTGAGAAACGTTTGGTAGGTAAAGCGGAATGGTTCCTAAACGTGGCCCAGAACCACTGGAAGTCAGTGTCTATACAGTAGTCAGCAGTTTCTGAGCGACTTTACCAAGGTTCACCAGCAGGAATAGGTTGGGTTGTGCTTAGATAAAGCAGCAGATCAATAGCCTGCTTGTATGCATTTTATTCTCATATATCTTTAGCATTTTTTCTAAGACTTCTAAAGTAATAGCCTAGAACCCTTGCCTTTTACTGCTTTCCAAACCTACCAGTGCTGTGTTCAATCAGCTGCCCACAGATAGCTCCTTCAGCTGAATCAAAAGTTAACATGACCACATATTAGGAAGCACACCACGTCTAGTTGTCTCTCTTCTAAATAGCGATAAAGGGTTCAGGTGTTGTAGCCAGCGCCAACTTGGTGTGTGCTCTTCATCCAGTAGCACTCACAGACACTGGTGCTCTTTGTCTAGCCATTCCTTCAGCAGATACGCAGGGGACTCAAGTTAGTTTTATGGCAGAAATGCCATGTAATTCAAAATGATGATTCCAAGTGGAATCTGATAGGAAAAGTGCCACTTTGGTATGTGACACTATTTTTGGGTATGTACATGTAAATTTTGCTTCAATTTATTATCATTGGGTTTTCTTTTGAATTTTATTCTTTATAGTTACAGAAAATATTTATGATTGCAAAGTGAAATCTATAAAACAATATACTCAAAGAAGTGTAGTTTTTATTCTACCTATTCTCCTTTTCTCTCAGCCATCCTTAGTTTTTGTTTGTTATCTATTTATTGCCTGTTCTCTGTGTGTGCCACAGGGGACCGCTCTCCTTCTCCATGACAGAACTCCGGTTGTCAGACTTGGCAACAAGTGTCTTTACCCGCTAAGCTATCTCTCCAACCTTATTCTTAGCTTTTAATTTATGGTTTAGAAAAGCATGCATCATTTTATTACCTTGTTTGTAGGTACCCCATCCCCATTGCTATATATCCGTGATAGTGTGTAAGGGTTTTCCTCATCTCTTCTTCCAGCTTCCTGATATTTTATGGTATGGCTGTACCAGAGTGTTCCAGCCAGCCTTCGGGTTGTCTGCAGGCCTTTGCTGTTGCACACGTTGTTGTAGTAAATAGTCTTGTGCATGTGTCTTATATTTTTTGCCAGGCTAGCAAGCGTGGAAGAGAGTCCTAGAAGTATAATTGTTAATGAATAATGCTTGCGCTTGTGTTGAACACTTCCGTATTTCGCTCCACACTGGTGTTGATTTTACAGCATACAAGCTATTGTGGAAATGCTGTTAATTCATAGTTTCGCCATCATAGTATATTGCCATGTTTGTTAATCTGTGGGTAAGAAGTGATACACTGGGATAGCTTCAATTTGCATTTCTCCTGAATGAACTTACTTAGGTTTAATAACCATTTATGTTTGTTTTCTGTGTGTTTTTATACTTTTAGCCCATTTTTCCCAATAGAATTGTTGAACACTTCCTGTATGCTCTTGTGTTTTGTGTGCATTAATCCTTTGGTTGATTAATTACAGTTCTCTCGCATGTCTTTTTAAACTTCTCTTTAAGATGCTTTTTATTTTGGTGGAAGTTTTTGGGTTTTTTCTTTTAGTTTTATATGTATGGATGTTTTGTTCACATATATGGCTGTGTACTATATATGTGCCTTATGCCTATGGAGACCAGAAGAGGGCACTTGCTCCTCTGAATCTGGGGTTGCAGATGGTTGTGAGCTATCATGTGGGTGCTGGGACTTAAACCTGGATTCCCTGCAACAGTGGGGAACAGTTCTCGTAACTGTTGAGGCATCGTTCAGCTCCTTGTTGATGGCTTATTTATGTATTTCTTAATTCTATATATATGTGAGTGTTTTGCTTGCACATATGTCTGTATATTACAGAGACCAGAAGATGGTATCAGATCCCCTAGAACTGGAGTTGCAGATGGTTATTAGCCACCATGTGGGTGCTGGGAACTGAACCCGAGTCCTCTGGATGAGAGTCAGTGCTCCCAACAGCTGAGCCATCTCTCTCCAGTCTCATCTTAGTGTTTTGTTTTCTTAAAGTTCCTATGTGATAAGTTAGAAATTGTGAGGAATAAGAAGTCTGACCTTAAATTGTGGCACTATGAAAAGCAGGTGTGCATATATGGGTCTCATCTCTATTTTATACTTGAAATTTAGATAAGTCTTTAAGAGAACATAAACTAAATTCCACTTAGAGAAGAAATAAAGGTGGTTTTTTTCTTTTGCTGAGTAGAACACAGGCTGTCTACATGCTTACTGTTAGATTTCAAGTGTATTTCCTGGGGGACAAGAAGAGCAGTTGAACTTTAAGGACTGAAAGCTCTAGAACGTAGCAGACACAGGGCCCCAGAACCAGGGGGTTTCTTAGAAAAATAAACATTGTGTGGATAGGGTGGGGGAGGAGAGAAACTGAAGAGTCTAGGAAGATTAAAATGAAATGGGAGGGGCTAGAGAGTTGACTCAGTGGTTAAGATCACTCACTACTCTTCCAGAGGTCCTGAGTTCCATTCCCAGCACCCATATGGCAGTTCCCAACTGTCTGTAACTCTAGTTCCAAGGGATCCAAAACCTTCACACAGGAGAAACAAATGGACATGAAGTAAAAATAAATCATTAAAAAAAAATAAAGTGAAGCAGGAAGCAGCAGTTTCCAAGTATTGTCTGTTCCCTCTGCCCTTTGTGGCAGCTCACATCGGTTTTCTAGTTTGCCCTGTGTGATAATCCATGCAGTTTTCAAGCTCTGTGCCGTTGGTACTATTTTTTGTTTCAAAAATGAAGAGAATGAGGCACTGACTGAAAGGTTGGGTTTCCCAAAGTGTCGTGGTTCTGGGACCAGTTGATGGCAAACCGAAGTGAGGCTGCTGCTCCAGCCTGTGCTGACTTCACAAACTGAGCCGCGTGCTGCGCTGTCCACCCACAGGTGCTGTTTAGAAACGTGCTTTCGCTGTAGAAATAAACTTGAACCTGAAGACCACTGGCCATAAAGTCTCGGACGTTTTTATGGGTACAATTACTGTAAAATAATCACTCTTGAAATTCATAATAATTTAAATATTCTTTTTTTTAGGCTGTGCATTATGTGTGACTCTTCCAATGAGTTTGTTGAACTTTTATAGGTAAGTATTTTTTTTTAAGTAGTGGAAAGAAAAAAAAGAAAAGGCATCTTTAACAGTTGTGTTGATAGAATGGAAGGGCTGTTTGCTTTCTGTTTTCAAAAGTTTCTCTGTGCAGCCCTGGCTGTCCTGGAACTCGCTCTGCAGACTAGGCTGGCCTCGAATTCACAGAGATCTGCCTGCCTCTGCTTCCTGAGTGCTAGGATTTAAGGTGTGTGCCACCAGGCCCACCTAACAGTTTATCTGAGTGCTGGGGATTCAAGGCATGTGCCACCAGGCCCAGCTAACTGTTTATTTTTGTAATCTAGGCATTTTGAAAAAGTTTAAAACCTCTACTTCAGATCTAGAGAACTTGATAATTGAGGTTATCTCTGTTGGCTTATGTAGTCAACTATAGAAACCGATCAGTTCTTTTGTTAAGGTTTTGGATCCAGCAGTCTTGATGTTTGTCACTTTTTTGTGAGTGACTCTACCTATAGAGGGTATTTTCTTGTTGAATATTGACTTGTTCACATTCTTTTTTTTAATTTATGATTTATTTATCTTTTATTTTATGTGCATTGGTGTGAAGGTGTCAGATCCCCTGGAACTGGATTTTCAGACAGTTGTGAGCTGCCATGTGGGTGCTGGGAATTGAACCAGGGTCCTCTGGAAGAGCAGTCAGTGCTCTTGACTGCTAGCCATTTCTCCAGCCCCGACTTGTTCACATTCTTTGTATGAACGATTATAGGGTAGTTAATGAGATCATACAAGCTGAATATGTGTGGGTTAGGACCAGACTTTATGCTACTCTGCTCACGTGAGACGTTGTGTGGACTTTCCTGCCTTTGGGGACTAGTTCCTTAGATGGGGTAGAGGTGGACTTTCAGTTCCGGTTTGTGCACACCTCATCTTTGCTTGCTGCCCTGACTTGCCTTGTTTTGGCCAAAAATATTTTGTTCTTTCACGTCTCAGTAATTTTGACCTGGCTGTTTTCTCTGCTACCGTTTTTTTTTGTTGTTGTTGTTTTTTTGTTTTTTTTTTTTTTTATCTTGTCCTTCCTACTTAGTCCTTCCACACCCAGATCTGTCTTTCAGACTCCTGCCCATGCTAGACAAGCTCTATACAGCTTCTGTTGTGGTGATGGTCATGTATAGAAGTGATACATTTTAAGTCAAATGTGGGGCACACTCATAATCTCAGCGCTTTGGAGACTAAGGCCAGCCAGCCTGGGCTACGTAATGAGTACCAGGTCTACCAACAGTACACAGTAAGACCCTGTCTTTAGAAAGGTAATAGCATTTAAAGTTTGCAAACCATGCCCATCATTTGAGTCATTTCCTCCTCTTATAAATGAGGCTTTGATTGGGCCTCACACTGTCCAAGGTAATGTGATCAATAACCAAACCAAGATTAGAATTTGGAGCCCTATTCAGATGAGCAGACACGCTGGGTTATTCCCAGTGAACTTAGAGACACAGAATGTCTCTCTCTTCAGAACCTTTTATGTGAAATATATCTGCTCTAAATCTCTATCACTTTGATATTTTGTTATGTGTACGGGTATTTTGCTTGCATGTATATGTTTGTATCACATGCATTCCTATTGTCCAGGGAGACCAGAAAAGGGTGTTGAATCCCCTGTAACTGTAGTTTGTGAGCCTCCATGTAGGTGCTGGGAATTAAACCTGGGTTCCCTGGAAAAAAACAGTCAGGACTTTTAACTTCTAAGTTAAAGCCAGTGGTTCTCAACCTTCCTAATGCTGCAACACTTTAATACAGTTCCTCATGTGGTGACCCCAATCATAGAATTTTTTTATTGCTACTTCATAATTTTGCTACTGTTATTACACAGCTGTTGATCATTTGGTTCAAAAAGCAAGAAAGGGGCCAGTTCATTCCTTTAATCTCAGCACTCTGGAAACAGAGGCAGGTGGATCTACATAGTGAGCCCCAGGCCAGTCGTGGCTGCGTAGTGAGGCTCTGTCTAACAATAGAGAAATGAAGAAAGTGGTAGGATTGATCCGGGGTCAGAACCTCATTTGTAATCCTGGCCTTGGTGGCAGTTACAGACTGAGAGCATTTCCTCCTAACTTAACCTGTCTTTAAAGTAGGACTAATGGTGGTTCTCTGTGCCGTAGATCGTAGACATAGTGAGAATACATGTGAAAGGAGTTTGGAGATGGAAGGGTTATGCGTGTGTCTTATGTAATGATGTTCTGTATTGATTTTTCAGAAGTTATAAAAGCAACACTCTGAAACACAGCTCCGTTTATGAAGTCATGGTCCCCTTCTTCTCTCCATGTCTGCTCTTCACTTTGTCTACCGTGTGGGTCCTCCGGTCTCCTTCAGATATTTTAGAAATTCACCCTAGAATATTCTACTTCATGGTTGGAACAGCTTTTGCCAATATCACAGTAAGACTTTTTATTTTTTTTCAAAATTATATAAGCCTGATGTGGTAGCTTATGCCTATAATTCAAGACCAGCCTGGGCTACATGAGACCATGTCTCACAAAACTAAAATAACAAAGAAGAATCAGAACAGCCTTTGGAAGGTGGTCATTGCTGATTGGAGGTCGGAGGTCGTGTTTCCTCTTCATTACCACGAAGAAGTTTAGTTGTGTCCAGGTTTAGGAGGCTGTTTTGAAATTGTTCTTCACACAACGTAGAGTTTTAAAATCGGGAGCTACTCCTTTTCTCTCAGCTGTTACCGCACTGTGAGAAAATGCCTTCTATAGCGTCTGTGTAGTCCTTTCCTCATCCTGTGGCAGAGTACCTGACAGGAGCTTACAAAAGGATTTGTTTGGGCTTGTAATTGCTTTTTTTTTTTTAAGATTTATTTATTTTGTATACTGTATTCTGGCTGCTTGTATGCCTGCAGGCCAGATTTAATTAGAGATGGTTGTGATCCACCATGTGGTTGTTGGGAATTGAACTCAAGACCTCTGGAAGAGTAGCCAGTGCTCTTAACCGCTGAGCCAGCATCTCTCCAGTCCTTGGCTTGTTCTCTAAGAGGGGAAACAGTTCATCATGGCAGGGTGTCATGGTGTCAGGTCGGTGTTGGTCACATTGCAGTTGAAGTGAGGGAGCATCGAGGGGACTTCTCGGCTCACTTCTTTCTTTTTATTCAGTCCAGGACTCCAGCGCACGGATAGTGCTGCTCACATACGAGTGGGTCTTCCTTCCTCATTTAAACCTCTCTGGAAACTCCTCCACAGACACGCCCAGAGGTGTGTTTCCGAGATGACTCTAAATCTAGTCAAGCTGATAGTGGAGATTAACCAGCACCACATCCCCACTACAATGTCTTAGTCTCTTCTTATACCATCCCAGGATCCGTGCTTCAAGGGTGGGGTTGGGCCACTTGGGGCCCTGAGCAATTGAGAACTATTGACAATAGATACACTCTTGAAAGCTTTTTGAATATGGCTGGTTTTAAAAGTGCTTTGCTAATTAATAACCCCCTTTTCCCTCCCTCTTCTTGCTTCTCCCAAGTGTCAGCTAATTGTTTGCCAAATGAGCAGCACACGGTGCCCGACTTTGAACTGGTTGCTGCTTCCTCTCTTCTTGGTTGTGGCAGCAGTGAATGTAGGCGCAGTGGCCTCCCACCTCGAGAGTCTTCTCCTCTATGCACTCACGGCAGCCTTCACTCTGGCTCACATCCACTATGGAGTACAAGTGGTGAGTAGTCTAGAGCGAGGCAGGCCGCTCTTGTCTGCTTCTTAGGCATCTAGACAGTGGGGAGCCACTGCAGAAGAGGCTTGTTAGTGTAGCGACTGTGGGGGAGATGTAAGTGTGTCGTCTCAGACGCTTTTACCTAATGATTGTATTATGGCAACTACAAATGATTATTAAGTGAGTGATTATGGATCATTAGTTCTTACTTTAGATCATTATATAAGTGATTTTGTTGAGAAAACACTGTACTTTTCTTTATGTGAGACCAGATAATCACATTTGATTCTGTTTCTTTGCCTCTTTCTTCCTAGGACACTTTCATTGTTTACTAACTTAATTTGGGGAAAACAAGTAGCATTGGTTTATAGTGCTCCCCTGTCTGTCCCTAACCCTGTGAGAAATGGAGTAGGGCAGTATCTTAGGGCTTCTGCTGCCGTGATAAACACTAAAACCAAAAGCAACTCGGGAAAGAAAGGGTTTATGTCAGCCTAGAGTTGCACGTCACGGTCCGTTATCAAAGGAAGTCAGGACAGGAACCTAGAGCAGGAGCTGAAGCAGAGGCCGTGGAGGAACACTGCTTACTGGTTTGCTCCCCAGGGTTTGCTCAGCCTGCTTTCTTATAGCACCCAGGACTGCCTGTCTGTCCATGGGTGGCACCACCCACTATAGGCTGGACTCTCACGCATCAGTCATTAATCAAGAAAATGAGCCCCAGGCTTGCCCACAGGCCAGTCTGATGGAGGCGCTTTCTCAGTTGAGGTTCTTCTTCCCAGATGACTCTAACCTGTGTCAGGTTTAGAAAACAAACAAAAAACCAACTGGCCAGCACAGGCAGATCAGAATTTTAGACTAGAGGAAGTCATTTGCATTATTTCAGTTTTTATCTCATAAACCTTTACCTTTATCAGCAAATAATGTAAAAACGTAGAGGAAAATGTTAGTGTTTCTCTGGGTGTGTCCGAGCACGGCTGTCTCCTCAGTGCTAAGGATGAAGAAGCGGGAAGACAGCTTGAGGCTAACTCGGACGTGCGCTGCTAGGCCCTGTCTCGATGAAGCACAGACACAAATAAGTACTGTTTACTTATTTGTACACCCAGTGTTCTCTTCCAAAATAAGAGGTCACCTCAGGATGCATGGACGCATACAATGATGTCCGAGCCACATGGTGCCCTCCCCCGACTTCAACACCTTCTCTAGTTCTCTAGTTATTTTACATATTTTTGTCATTTGCCACATCGTATTCCCTCAGGGAGACCACCAGTAGTTACCCAGATACCAGTTCTAGTCAGCTTATTTTATTTATCTAGTGCTCTAATCTTTACAGTGTTGGTGTGAACACGCTGGAACGCTCTTTTCCTTGGTTTGTGTCCTGTAGAGAGGATAACTGCAGGCATGGGGTGGACTGGGCATCCACACTACCACTGTAGTGTCTGCTCCCTGTGTCTTAGAAGGGGCCTGCTCAGAGTCTGCTTGGTGAACAAAACATTTTTGCTGAGAAACTGATGAACTGTGATGTCAGATAATTGCTTGTGTTTTTATTCTTAAAGATTTATTATATACATTTTGCCAATTTGAGGTGCATTAATTCATTGATCTTATGAGTGACCATTGCCAGTGTCTTGTAATTTCAAGACACTTGTTTTGTTTAGTGTGGCCCTTTTTGGTCTGGAACTGCCTGGAGACCATAGCTCAGCCTCTACCTCCTGAGAGCTGGGAGTGAAGATGTGCTGCCACGTTTTGCTAGACTCTTCTCTTTAGAAACTGTATGTCTAACAGACACATCCCTCTGTGTGTGGGGGTTTGTGATATGAGTATAGGGCCTGTGGAAGCCAGAGGAGGGGATCGGGTGCTGTGGATCTGTGAGGCTGGAGTTACTTGTAATATGAGCTGCCCAGTGTGGGTCTGGGAGCTGAACTCCACGCTTTAAGCACTGAGCCGTCTCTGCAGCCCCAGCCCCGGTGTTTGCAGTGCTCTGTCAGCACTTTACTCACTGACCCCTCTGCAGCCTTCACAATCTTTTTACATTGTAAGAGCAGTACAAATTTATTTTTAAAATCTGGACAGTAGGACCTGTGAGAGGGCCCAGCAGGCGAAGCCTGTTGCCCTGCAACCCTGATAGCAGGAGTTCGATCCCTGGAACCCACATAAAGGTGGAAGGAGAGAACCGACTCGGGTTGTCATCTGACCTCCACGTGTCCACGTGTATGACATAGCACCCATGCACTGTACACATACTCAACAATAATAAATAAAAGTAAAGTTCTCGTGGAGCCAGGAAAGGGGCTGTTTGCTCCCAGCCCTGAGTTCAGTCTCAGAGCCCCCGACTGAAGGAGAGAACCAGTCACTGCACTTTGTCCTCTGATGTCCTTGTGCATGCCGTGTCAGACATGTGTCAGATATGTGCCCTTCTCCCCAAATCAATAAATCTAAAAAGAAAATGGGGAGCAGGAGAGATGGCTCAGTGGTTAAGAGTACTAGAGGACCCGGGTTCAATTCCCGGCACCCACGTGAAAGCTCACAGCCATCTGTAACTCCAGCTCCAGGGAATTGGATACCTCCTTCTTGACTTCTTGGGCACTGAACACACATGGTGAACAGACATACGTGCAAGCAATACCCATAGGCAACAATAATTAAACTTAAAAAGTGAACCATAATTTTAAGAAATCTAGACGATAAACACGCGAACAGGAAGAACATCTTTCTTGTCCATCTCTGTGCTCTTTACTACGTGTAGCCAGAAACCACACACACTCTTGACTTACACGGAAGAACCGACTCCTGCCGGGGATGCCGTAGCCAGCATGGTCTCCGGCGTCACAGGCCAGGTTTTTCACCACTTTGTCCAGGCTAGCAAGCGTTATCTAGCAGTATGGATACTGCTGAGTCCAGCTCACTACAGTAATGGCTTTCTTTAGAAGCTGTTGTTGGTCGGATAACCCTGTAGTTCCTCAGGAAGTTTGGGAATGAACTTCTCTGCTCTAGAAGGCTCGCAGAATGACTAGAGTTTGGTTCAGCACAGCCTTTCTTGTTTCTGGCAGTTTTACCATGTCAGTAAGTTACTGTCTGCAGAGGGTGAGTTCTGAGTGCCTTCACCGAAGACTCGGGACGTGTTGGTCACTGTCTTGTGTTCTGGTTTTCTGTAGGTGAAGCAGCTGAGCAGCCATTTTCAGATTTATCCCTTTTCATTGAGGAAACCAAACTCAGATTGACTAGGAATGGAAGAGAAGAATGTCGGCCTGTAACCTTCGGGAAGTGCTGTAAATAGATGCCTGTAAACATCCCATCCATCACCACTGAACTCAACTGCTCTGCCTGGCGGCTGTGGGATCGCAATGTGTGTCGTGTGGACAGCAGGAGTGAACATGTCTGTGCTTGTGGAATTTTGGGCTTTCTAACTCCCAACTTTATTTTTTTATAAAACCATGAGACATTTTGGTTAAGCACAGTGTACATTAAACCAGCTAAATGTTCCTAGCTTCATGAGTCCATAATGTTTCGACTCATACAGAGTTAAGGATGCTTTACTTTTATGTTTAAAGTCCTCAGATTGATTCAGGAACACTAATAACGTTCGGATAGCCACAACATGTCCTAATATTTGATACTTTATAAAAGGTCTTTAGCTGTGGAAATGGTTGACAGCCCAGATCTACTGTAGAGAAGCATCCAACAAGTCTCTCTGGCCCGAGATACCAGCGAACACAGAACCGTGTACAGTTGCCAAATCCTGGTTATTCTCCCGTGGAGCTTCGAGAGGTTATCTGGTGCCTGGCTCTTCTGTGGCTCAATGCTGATAAATTGTTTAATTTTCTTTTGGAGAGAAGTGTTCTGTTGTTACTTAGCAGAGAATGGTTTACTTGTGGTGTTTCCTCCTGTCGGGATTGGGTGCCTGTGAGCCATGATTCTTGAGGCTGTGCTTGACAATTCCATTCTCGTGGTACTTTTGAGGCTGCAGAAAAGGACCTTGTGAGAGAAGACTTAAGCTGGAGTTAGGAACCCAGAACTTCATGATGACCACTTGGCACCCTGGCACTGCCTGGCCACCTGTCTGCTTGCTTTCATTCTTTCTTCTTCTCGGGGTGAGGTGCTGTGGTTTTTAATCTGACACGGGATAAGATAAGGCAGAGAGACAGTCTCTCTCCCCTAACTTTCCCGCCTCCCTATTTGAAGAAAACTTTTGATATATATGCCTTACTGAGTATTTACTCCTTTAGATGACTCAGTAATTTTTGAGGTTTACTGACAACACAAAACTCCCATTGCTGTATTATGGTTGTCTCATAAATCTCACCATTTTACAAATGTGGATATTCTCTGTCTTTGGACTTTGTCTTTATTTAGTTTGGTGGTGGTGAAATTTACTTGCTGGTTTTATTTTTCCACTGAATGAGGTTTGTGCTTAAATGAAGAGTGTGTCTTAAACCCCTTTTTTTTCTGGGTAGGTTGCACTTGGATAAGATAGGCACCACTGTGTTGATATGTAATTAAAGTCATAACTGTTATTTTCCTATGAAGGTGACCGTTCTTAAATATTGTAGCTCATCTCTTTGTTGAATTTTTGTCTGCTGCTTTGTAAAAAGTAACTAGTTGATGTTCCCCCTGAGCATTTTTAAGTTCGAATCATTGTCATCCAGGCTGTTGAAACTGAGTGAGGAGCTAACCCACGGCCCTGTACTGGTTTTAACTGTTTGTAAGGCTGATGTGTGTTTGGGGACTTTCTCTAAGACAAAAAATGAAAGCAGACGTTGATGTGTGAGGTGGAAAGTGATTCGTGTTCGTTAATAAATTGCCATCATGGAGGTCAGAAAACCAGCCAGTTGCATGAGGATAACTGTGCTGTGTATTCGCGCCCTGTAGAACTGAATTGGGCAACTCTGAGTCTGGAAAAAGCTTTGTTATAAGGTTTTTGATGATCATTTTACTGTTTTTTTTTTTTGCATTGTATACAGGAATAATCATTTGTATAAAAGAAAATAACATAAATATTTATTAAATAATGAATTTGGACCACAGACTTTCTTCACCTTGTACAGTATACTAAAGGATCATGTCCTGTAATTTGAGGGCTGTTTCCTTCCTTCCTTCCTTCCTTCCTTCCTTCCTTCCTTCCTTCCTTCCTTCCTTCCTTCCT